CGCTGGAAGTTATGACAAGACCTCACACACACAACCAGTTCCTGCCTACCTCTGCTTAAGCTTCTGGAGCTGCCATGGAGGAGCGAATCCCAGGAAAAATGAAAGACCAAAAAGTGCAAAAGGAAGCGTTAAAGGTGATTCACTTGTTTGTTCCTTGTTTGTTTGCAATTTGTTGTCATAATTTGTAGTTTCTGTTCTACTTGGAGCTCAGCTCCAAGGCCATACCTTAGCATAACAGACTGGGCTGTGAGTTGTGGCTCGAAGTATAAAATGTTATGGCAACGCACTTCTAGCTTAACCAATGTGATTTTCCTGCTTCTAAAAAACTAAGAATTCCTTAGATGTCTGAGTTCTTTCTCAGGAATGCCTTAAAGAGCAGATATGTCAACTGAAAGTATGGAAGATGCAATACATATGTCTTAAAGTAGAAAATTGAATCTGGAGGAATCTGGAATCTATTCCAGATTCAAAGATATAAAAAGAAATTCAGAATGTGGATCACCATTAAAGAAGATATGTCTGCAGAGTCCTTCGTTTGATTGAAGAACTATGGCTGTTTATTTGTAAGTTTATAGTTTATTCCGTTCGACTTAATTTTAGCAGATGGTTATTAATAAGAAGGACGAGATGTCCTCTATGAGATTTGGGCAGCTACTGAAAAATGTCGGTACGCTGCCACTATTTTTTCTCACTTTGCAACTGAGTCCGCATCTCCTTTTGATATCTATGTAAGTGTATAGACAGATAATTAATGGTGTGCCCGCTTCTGGTGTTCCTTGGCACTACCCTGTCAATACCGCATCCCACATGTCATTAAGGCAATTTTGACCATTTAGAGTAGGATATTATTTCTACTTCCTTTTAGTTCCACATATTTCCTGAAGGGGAGTGTAAGACATCGTGGCGTGTAAGGTATGGTGGCGAACTTGTCAAATCTGGCATGTCTTTTATCGTGCTGACATTTTATATGCAGTAGTATTAATGAGGGGACGTATGCTTTGTACTCTAAATGATTTTCAATAAAAAAGTAGTTAAAAAAAACAAAAAATTGTTTTTGGATATGTTAACAGTGCTAACAGTGCCAGAGTGAAGATTTTTTGACAATTGAGTCAGGTAGGTATGAAAAAATAAGTAGGAAAAAATATATTTAGGCCTTGGCCAATAGTTTTTGGTATTTGAAATCTCGAAGGCCACTAAAGAGACACTTGCTATAACTTATATTATCAGAAAATAACATAATCTTTAGCATTTTTGTTGGTTTTTTCGTGTTTTTTTTTAGTTTTTAAGATATGCCGTCACATGTAAAATTGCAACCACAACTGAAGTGAAACTTTTTTTTCTAAAATTTAAAATCTTCAAAATCATTTTTTAATAGTTTTAATAAATGATTTTCACATCTACACAATGTTTTAGGTGAATACACCAATCCTCCACCAAACCTTACAACTTTCGAAAATATAAAAAATCAATGATTTGCGCCAAGAGCTGCAAAATTTTACCCCATTTAAATTTTAACAATCGCTTCTGACAGATATATGCTCAATAGATGTCAGAAACTGGCTGCTTCTGAAATTATGAAAAAAATAAATTTTTTAGTGTTTGCCACCATACTATACCATACCACCACTCCCTATTATTTTACATCAAATTAGTTCTTTTTAACATTGAATTATTAAAAATTTTCAAATATCTTGATTTTAATAATTTAAATATAGAAAAATAATAAAAATAAAACTGATTTTATATTGTTTTGGCAGAATGCACCTATTTAGTTTTATTTTAGTGTTTACGCTGCGTATACGTGATTTGGTTCGTTTGCATTCCTATGTGTGTATGTACTCGTACCTTCTCGATGTCCGTGGGTGTCCGTGTGTGTGTGTCTGTGTGGACCATTCTGGTGGCCATATCAATTTCGCCATCGCTTTGCTTTTGGCTCACATTATCGTTAAAATTGTATTGGATTGGTTCGGCATGCTTTGCTGACCAACTGGATAACCGACTGGCCATTGTGGCGCCCAAGTCAGCTTCAGATTGAGCTTCCATGTATCCTTTTTTCGTTTTGTTCGTTTGTCTGCATTCAGTCGCACTCTGGTTATATATAGAAGAGACCAAGTGTTTTGTGTGTGTGTGTGTGTGTGTGTGTTTATAGATTTTCCGTTATAGCCACACGAACTTCTTCTTAAAATGCAATTTTCAAGACTTTTTTCTTTACCTTTTCTCCTCGTTTGGCTGGCGGAATCTTTTTTTTTTTAGCCTTTTCCATGTAGTCTCTGCCCGCTGATTTTAAGCTCCTTTCCCCATCTCCTTTTGGGCCAACAGTGGCCAACACTTTTGGCTCTGGCTTGGGCCTTGGACCACGCCCCCATTTGCTTTTGCTTGCATGTGTCAAAAGGTATTTTTTATGTTCAGTTTCGTGTTTTTCAACATTTTCTGGTTTTATTTTCGTTTTTTTTCTTGGTTTGGTTCAGTTCAGAGGAGGTGCCCGGGCAGTAAGAGGCAGCCGGGAGGCATGAGGCATGAGGATTCAGCGGGGCGACCAGGTGAAGCGGACCACAGTCGAGTCGAGTCCCATCTTGTGTGCAGGTAATGTGGCACTTGGCTAAAATGGTGTGTGAAATTTTATGCGAAATGGCTTAAGATGTTGTTGTTGTTGCTGTTGTTGTTGGTGTTGTTGTTGTTGTCGTGCTTGTTGTGCTGATATTTCTGGAACGGAACACAATCATTCTGCTATGTTGCACATAAAAAGTTACGTTGAGTGGCAGTATATATGTATATGTAGTGGGAGGAATGGGATAGTTCCCACTACTTGTACTCGTAGTTCGGTTGGGTTTTATTCTTTCTATTCTCTGACCAAGCTCTGCTGATGATGACATTTTCGTTTTGGTCGCTTGGATTGGCAGCAAAACACACTCACACGCGGCTCCAAGAAAAGAGGAAAAAAGAAATTCGTAAAAAAGGATTAGTTAGCCTGAGAGGACTTTTTCTTTTTTCTATTTTTTTTTTCTTTTTCCTTTTTTTGCTTTGCGGACTTGAGTCAATGTTGTTAGTTTGGATTCTGGGAATGGCAAATGGCCTGAGAATGAAACTCGATTTCGATTACGTTCCTTTTTTGCTCCCACTTCTTTTCATGGCAACATTTTACGTATTGTTATTTGAGTGCGTTGGAAGGAGGCTTCTTGCCGTTGCCAGTCCCAGTTCTCAGGACTGGTTACGAAGTACATAGTACATTTTGTAATATGCTTGGCTTCGATATGATGTGGAAGAATTTTAGATACGAAATGGTTTATGCACTTAGATAAGGTAACCAAATCGAATAACTGCATTTCTGGAATAAAGGGTAAAACTGGCACAAAGCTAGAACGAACTGTGACCGAGGTAGGCACTAAAATGTGTTAAGAATTGTGGAGCAGCGCTGTTGGAAGCAGCGACCGTTTAATACAGAGACGATGACCAGTAACTGGATAGGGTTATTTTTCAAGGAAATGGTGTCAAGGGACTATGACGATGTATTTTTAGTAACGGAAACAACTGTGACTGAAGAATGAGGATGGTTGTTCTTAAAAAACGAGTGCGACGTCCGGTGCAAAGTTGGCTTGGCAGCGATAATGATGAGTCTTCTTGAACCTACAGAGAAGATCATGGCGCTAAGGATATATGTATATTTACTACATAGACTGAAACTTACGATTAGGGAAATCAATTTAGAAATACAAGATATCTGTGTTCGCGGTAGCAGCTCTAACAACTTCCCCAACTTTTCATTATTCGTGCTCATCAATGGATTGCTCCTTCTTCAACCAACAAATCCACCCTCCTAAAAAAAGATCATTAAACGAAATTCGCTTATAATTAGCAGCGACTGGATAAAACAGGTGGCTGTATGTATGTACAATGTACGAACATACATATGTACGTACTCCCAAGTCTCCGCTGATGGCAATGGAATGTTGTCATTTTTAACAACTATGTACGTGTATGTATCTGTACAAATAGGAGCCGGCTCTTAGCAAATTTGCTAACGAATTCGTCCGTCACATTCTTTTTAGTTATTTCTGCTCTGCTTGCCACCTGTCCCTACATGTGAAAATATTCAATTAGCAGGAGGATAACAAGCATCAAGCAAACAAATAATTACGACTCCTCTATGGGCAGCTATGTGTATTTGAATGTGCCTTCACGTGTATCAATTAAAAAACGAGTCAAAAAATGAATTTCTTATTTAATTTTCCCTATTTTCAGGGCAAATAAGTTTCGCATTTTAATTCACATTTAAATTTCACATGCATTTCAATTTGTTTCCACGGAGGAAGTACTTTTACTCGTGAAACAGAATTCTCTTATTTTTCGTATGTCGATATGCATTGGACGAACGTTTTACATGTCAAAGGATTATTGGACGTGGGGTGTGTCCGGGTGAAAAGAATTCCATTTCACGCAAAAAGAGACGCATGGTGGGTCCTGGGGCACTCGCTGAAAATAAAATGTCTGTCTGTTTGTCTAACCCGTAGTTTCGTGCTTTTTTGATGTTTCATTGTAACGAGGACTCGTCAATTACAGCAAACAATGACAAGCATCATCAGCATCAAAGGGAGACGATCACCATTAATGTCTGTCATCGTCATCATAATTTGCAAATTGCTTGTAAAAATGGCTTTTAATTGCACGTGCAAAAAGGGTACCCATCAAATCGGAAAGCACTCAGAGTCGAAGGAATCTATGCTTAGAAATTCCGGCTCTTCCTCAACACACAAATGTAAAATTTTGAAACGCTTTTGGGATTAATTCAATTACGCTGAGCAGTTTTTAAGGCAAAGTCAAGACCTTGATGGCACGCCAGGACTTTGGTGCTGCTTTTGACACTTTTAATTGGTAGGCGTAGAAAATCATTAATTATATTTGGAAGGGAAAATGCCAGTCACGCAAAGGATCGCAACCAAAACGGCAAACCAGAGGCAAGAAGACAATTTAAAAATTACCAAAACAGAAACCAAGCTTCGCTTTCATTGCGTCTTTAATGGTTAATTAAATAATTTACATTAAAATACTTATTTCTCATTATTACTATCTGCGTCATCAAATCCAAAAAACAGGCCAGCTATCGATTCGTTGTCAGATATAGAAGCATCCCTGTCACGATATTGACGTCTTGGTGTTCGCTTAGCATTGATGGTGATGAAGTCGTAATTGTTATCAATAGCTACGAAGTATGTGGGAATTTTTCCTGGGCCTTTCACATAGGTCATGCCACGATAGCGGCACATAATGCCAAATTCACGCAAAAGGATGGCTGTTTCCTGGGTCACTTGGATGTGTCCGATCATGCCGGTGGAGTCCATACGGGACGCCATGTTAACGGGGTTCCCCCAGATGTCATAATGGGGTTGAGAGGCGCCAACAACTCCGGCCATAACCTCACCACTGGAGATACCAATGGACATATCTGGGCTAATAATGGTCTTATCATAAGATACCGTTTCATAGGCTTTGTTGAGCATCCAAAGAGTTCGCATTAGGTCCAAGGCAAACGTGGTCATCACAAAGACGACCTCTTCATGCAGATCTTCCTTTAAACTTCGTTCTGATAGTAAAGAGGAGGCTCTGCGAATCATCAGAGCCTGCTCCACTAAAAGTTAATAAATATATATATAATATATAATTTATATAAAAATATAAATATATATTGCACCTTAATTAAAACTAACCTTCTTCCGTTAGTGAGTCTCGAATGGGGGAATCTCGTTTCGTTAATTCTTTGCTAATGCGATCTGCAATGTTCACATCCAATCCACATGCTGCCATATATGTGCAGCCAACAATTTTGATCTTCTCCACCAAGTAATTATCTTTGTAGTGGAGCAACTAGGAAAGGAACAAATAATGGCAAAAAAAATATTAATAATAAATCATAGCTTACCAATCTATCAAACTCCGTGATGATCTCGTTTAGTAGGCGCAAGTTTCTCAGGCTCATTTCGAAATTTCTTAAAGTGGCAAACATAACGGATACTATTTTGTATTCCTCATAGTAGAGCTCATGGTTGGCCAGAGATGTAAGGTAAACGTTGACTGAGGAAGAGAGGCGTGTACAGATGATTTTGTTACCTGTTTTGTTGCCTGATCCAAAAACTCACCAACATGAGCAGGAAGTATATTATTCAGGAGAATTATTATTGAGTGGTTAGTTATATGGGCATCACGCTGCTTTTTTCTCAACTCGACGCGCCAACTAAAATAATTTAATTAACTTATATTATAATTAAATAATATTATAGAGGGTTACTTACTTGAAGTTGACTTTGTTTGTGAACTCTGCGTGTCGCTCCTTGAAATACAAGGTAAAAAAGGTGATGATTATGAGCAAACTATGTGCATATTCTGCCGCAAAAAAAGGATTTGTGGTAGCACTGTGATGGAAAATGAACTGGAACTGGAAAAATATAACGATCAGATACGCGATTGTCATCAAAAAGCTCACAATTATCTTCAAGACGAACGGAATACTAGTGAACGTAAAGCTCATTGCAATGATAAGAGCCACCACATTCGTGATTACCCAGGGATTAAAGCACATAGTCACATTAGCATCATAGTGATAAAGTTTACTCTCGATGCTCATCAATTCGAACTCATTGCGATCACATCCCATCTATAAAAAGGGTCTCCTTTAGGGTTAATGCGTACTCTATCAATATAAACTTACCAGTATGATGCTGACCACGGAATTATACGCACAAATGATGAAGAGATATATGCAAATGCGGAGGCTGAGGCTTGCTTGTATCTTCTCACAGGTACAAAATATCCAGCAGCTCAGCTGGCTGAATCGGTGTTGGATCTCCTCCTTCTTGCCAAATATAAGCCAGCATATTTTTTTGTACCAAGCGATGACAAGCAAGATGGTCAGACAAGTTAATACAACTACATCCAACACTATGGCGATAAAGAGTAGGTCCGGGTGTAGAGTCATCAGCTGCATGTAGGCCAGGCTGCATCCAATGCTCCATGCAAGCAACATGCTGTGCTTGAACATATAGTCTGGCGAATGCAAGTATTTGCACTCAAGGTGGGAGTCCCGAAAGACCATACAGAATTTGGTGAGTTCGGATGACAGAGGGTCATTAGGCTCGTCTCGTCTTCTCCAGGAGAAGATTTTTCCAGGTCTGTGGGAAATTATGTGAATGGAAGTTTTGTCATTTGTCCGAGAGAGTCGAAACTCACTTGAATCTACTGACTGGCATCTTTCGAAACTCCTGACGCAATTCTTCGTTAATCACATCGTCTTTAGTACTGTACAAATCTGGTCTGGCGCGTAGATCGATGTGAGATTGTGAATCAAACCTTTCTGTAGAACGTCTGAAAGAAGGGCGAGAAGGCTGAGCAGAAATTAGAAACGTGCTGATGTTGTTTTTGCTTAGAACGGGATCCTCCAAAGCTGCATCGGTGCCAGGAGTTATCGTATATTCGCCAGGATCTAGTTCGTTCAACGTACTGGCACTAATATGAACATATCCCGCAGAGCCAGTGGATTCTAAATGATTGGCAATGGTTACGTCGATTCCTGCCAATTAAAGGAATAATGTCGATGAATAATCTTTAAGGAATGCTGATGTAGAATGTAAACGCACCCCATACATCGTACTGAAGCTTAGCTTCGCCGATGACTCCTGCAATAACACTTCCAGAATGAACTCCAATGCGCATATCGATGTCCACGTCATGTTCCCTTCTGCAAAATTTTTAAAAAATTTAAATATACACAAACCTCGATTAACTTACCGCACTTGTTGAATGTGTGAGATCATGGACAGACCTAGATCCACACAGCACTTGGCATGGTCGGGATCCGGGCGCATTAGACCAGCCACACAGTAGTAGCAGTCCCCTAAGAACTTGATTCGCTGAACCTCAAAGTGGGTGGCGGCCATATCGAACCTTCCAAAGAGACCATGCAGCAGCCTCACAAGCGTCTCCACATCCAGTGTTGTCGTCAGTTGTGTATAGTTAACCACATCTGCATACAAGATACTGACCTCAGGATGGATCTGAATGGCCATGATATGCTCCATGACGCCCGGGGAGCGAATGGCAGCCAGTCCTCGCCCCTTTCTGGCAAGTCTATTTTGTATATCGTCTTGGATTGGCTTGGCTATCTGTGGCGGGATAATACTATGGAGCACGAACTTTTCCTGACGACGCGCATTGCGTAGCCAGATCTTCTCCATTATATACTGATGCCGGTCCAGGAAGGACGAGCGCACAACAATATCATTCATTATGCGAAAGAACATACCAAGAAGGTTGAAGCACACGTGGTGGAATATATCTACAATAAACCTGCCATAGTCGTAGGCACTGAAAATCTCGAAATAGTACTCCGTGGCAATATAGACCGCAAAGTAGGTTATGTACACAACGGACACTGTGACTCCCAGCAGCAGGGCACCCGACATAACGGGTATCGGCATGAACATGTATATCATATAAATAATATAAGTGTCATAAAATGTATCCAATGCCCAATCGTGTACGTAGTAATGATATGTGCCCTGAAAGATATCTGCAGGATGGTAAAAATAATAATAAATAATAATAATAAAAATATAATAGTAGAAGGCCGAAGATCAATTAACTCACCAGCTGATACCAATACGAATGCTGCAATCACGGAGCTCACATAAGTAATCCACGAGTGTCGCATAGAAAACTTCTCACAGAAATTGACGCTCAATACAGTTAAAACAAAACATGCAGAAAATATATATATACCCACATCAATTAATATTAAGTGGGTATGCTGGATAAAGATGATGGTAGTTTTAACCGTAGCCCTTAAGTTAGTTTTAAATTCTTGCTTGACTTACCGGGCAAGTTAAGAGCAGCATTGTGCAGTGCAAGATGGTAATGAGGGTATGCAGAAGGCAGAACACGCCTAAAAAACTATTCCATAGTCGTACCTGATACAGACGGTATTCCTCCTCCAAATGCAGCTCCGCACATTTTACCTATGGATATCCATGTAAATAAAAGAGTGCACCATTTGGATGTCTCTTAAAGATTTACCAAGAGGTAGCTGCGCTCCCACAGGCGCTCTTTGGTATAGTTGAACTGACATACATCATCAGCGAAGCTCTGTTGAGGCATTCTGTTATAATGTGTTATTTTATATATTCCTTGACTGCTGGTAAATGTATTACGACTACTGAAACGTTAAAGTAATGCAAACTTAAAGCCTACTTTGAATAAAGTTATTCCGATAAACTCAAGCAATTTTAAATCATTAAATATAAACCATACATATTTCAAAATGTAAGTGAAATTTCTGGAAATTAAAGTAATTTGAAAGTAAAAGTAAATGGAAAATGGGGCAATTCAAATGATGAAAACAGAAGCCACGGAACGCAATAATTGTTATTAAAATATACATTGCCGCTATATACATGATGTGCTGGTTCATACAACCAAAACGTATCAACAGAAGTGGAAACTCGCCGAAGGCTTCGGCTATCTTTGGGTCGAATCCCGACATGGGCCAGAGCATGATGCAATTATATAAGGTGGTCTCGTCGGCAATTAACAATGTGTACAATAAGTGCGAGTGAAAGGCCTCAGCGCAGTAAGTGTGAGTGAAACAACAATAGAGCGTGTGGATTAACCCTCAGTTGCCTGTTATAATAAAAAGAGTTGATGTTTTTTTGTAATTTAATTTTTAATTTGAAATTTAACGTTGTTTTTCTTTTTGGATAGGTATTCTTTTGTTAAGGCTCTTTATTCTAAAATAAATTCTAGTCTTAAAATAAAAAGTTTTTATATCTAAATTAATTTTAACTGTTTCGGAGGCCATTAATAATTTTTGTTTAACAATCTTATATAGCGTGTAAGCCGGTTCTCACCCACAAAATTTTCTCACAATATATGCTTCTACATCTTCTCCGCGAAAGAATCACTTTGTGATATCACATAAGTCTGGAAACAAAATTTGGTTGCTCTAGCGCTTATAGTCTATGAGATCTAGGCGATTAACAAGACGAACCGACGGACAGACAGACATGGCTATATCGACTCGGCTATTAATGTAGGAATCGGGATAGGGCCGGCAGTGCAGAGAGCGGCTCGAAGTGGCCGCCAGTATTGAGTAACTCCCTTTTTGAGCAAAGAAGAGAGATCGATTAGAGCAGGAGGTTTGTAGGGTTAAGCAAGCGAGAGTCAGCTTCAGTCGGTGCCAAAGTTTCGCGAGCTTCACACACACTACACATCAATTCACACACAAATACACATAATCATAAGCCAATTCCCATAATATTAAATACAAGTTACAACAACTACCACTATAATAAAACTAACGTCGTCTTAAGCATAGTTATCCAGCACTGCGGAATCGAAAAATTCCTGTCAAACTCCATATAAAAAAAACTGTGACAGGAATGTTTCGCTTACGTATTCCTGGAGCGTGTATCCAGCAACACGAGCGGAATCCAGATTTATATCGATAGTTTCCTATCGGGACCGTGTGTGGACTGAGAGAACAGCTGACACCCAGCTCAGAAATATATATTCTCAACAATTATTCCTGAAGTGAATGGTGCAAGATGTAGGCAAAAACTCTCCGCAAAACCAAAATGAGAGATGAAAATTATTCTTATTTGTTTTGCAACAATATATGCCGCCACCAAGACAACCACTTTATCATCAGAGTGCATTTTTTTCTTTTATTAATTTTAGCAGAATTTTACAGTTGGCCATGTTTACAAAACACAGCTGATTCATCAACCCTGGTTTAGCTATGCTCCACACCCTCACGAAATAACTAGTAAATTCATGGCAGGAATTTTTCGCGGTGCTGGAGACAGGCCTTTAAGTTGTTATTTGTTTGTATTGTGTGTATTTACAGTGGGGACTCAGCCGAAAAGAGGAGGCAAAATTAAAAACTATTTTATGAACGCTTTGAGATATGATATGAAAATGACATGTTCGAAAATGTATTGAACCCTTTTTCACTTTATAATTTATCAAGCTGGGCCCACTGTGCGCATCTGCTGAGCGGTCTCGAGCTCGCTCGGCCCGTTTCTTACGAACAGACGAAGCTGTCGGACAGCGGGCTCGAAAATGTATTGAACCCTTTTTCACTTTATAATTTATCAAGCTGGGCCCACTGTGCGCATCTGCTGAGCGGTCTCGAGCTCGCTCGGCCCGTTTCTTACGAACAGACGAAGCTGTCGGACAGCGGGCTCGAAAAGCCGAAAAGAGAATTGAAACCCCGCGCGCTCCCTCTGTCCATGGGGCGTACATGCAGCATCTTGGTATTGTTTAGTCTTGGCTTTAATCCACATCAGTGCAAAAACCCTGGGCGTGTTGTAGGGGGATTTGGGTCATAAGTCGCAAAATTGCATTAACCAAGTCAAGAGTGTTAATGGACAATATGTAGCGCTTGGATCAAATATATCATTTTTGTTTGTGGTGCCCTCTATGGGGCATGATGGTAGTGATCCGGCAGATGAACACGCCATCGGGGCGTCAGGTTTGGGGGTCAAAGGAAAGGGCAGAGAAAGGCAATGATACAGACGGAAACGTCAAGCCGAATTTCACCTTTTTAGAAGGCTTAAGGGTTCCCGCTGATTTTGCAGCTTGGATTCGGTTGTCTCGTTTTCGTCGTTCGACCTGGACAGGTGGCTGCCGCAGAATACCTTTTTTTTACAAGTGCGTTGTTAGTGGAAAAAAATCAAAAGTGATAAAAAAGCAAACTGGAAAGATTCTTGGAATCTAGCTAGCAGCGAGTGGGAAGAACAATTGGAAGTATAAAATGCCTATTCACAGCAGAGAGGGTGCGGCTTTGGAGCAGCTCGAGCTGCAGGAGGAGCGAAAAACCGGAGATCGGTTATTCGAGAGATTCAAAAGATTTTTGGGTTAATGCCTTAGCAAAAAAGCAGTCGAAGAGGACAGCGAGCGCAGCGTCGTTTTGGTGCTTTCCTTCGTTTGCGTTTAACATTACGTAGCAGAAAAGGTAGCAGCAGTACCGACACGAAAGCAGTCAAAAGAGACTCGGTCGTGATCATCGATCTGGGGGGTTGCTAAATTCGCAATTATTGGATGGGGGGAATATAATTCAGGGATTAATGAAATTTAGGTTTAAAAATATGTTTTAAATTAGTTTTAAATACGTAGATAAGTGCGGTCTCACCGTTTTATGTAGTATGTGAATGTCGGTCAGCAGGGAAGAGAGAGAGAGAGGAAAAATTAGTAATTTTTATACCCGTACTCAAAAAAGAGTTAAGGGGTATATTAGATTTGTGGTAAAAGTGGATGTGTATAACGCAGAGAAGGAAACGTTTCCGACCCCATAAAGTATATATATTCTTGATCAGCATCAATAGCCGAGTCGATATAGCCATGTCTGTCTGTCCGTCTGTCTGTCTCGATGAGCGCCTAGATCTCAGAGACTATAAGAGCTAGGGCAACCAAATTTGGTTTTCAGACTCATGTGATATCCCACTGCTACAAGTGTACTTCAAAATTTCGCCCCGCCCCCTTCCGCCCACACAAAGGACGAAAATCTGTGGCAGGCACATTTTTTAAGATACGATAAAAATAAAAACGCAGTATCGTAGAGAATGCCCATATCTACTAGACTGCTGAATCTGAATTAGATCGGATCATAATTATAGCCAGAATGAATAAAGTAATTTTCAGTTGCTTCCCCTGCCCCCTCCTGCCAACGACAACGCATCTCATTTTCCATCTCGCTCGCACACTCTGCCGCGTTCAGTGCGCGAGCAACCCCTAGCGGAGGAGATGTAGAATCTAAATGGTACATGTTTAATCTACATGTTAGATGTAGAATATACATAATATATGTAGATGTAGATAACAGATGTAGCAAAAAAATGTAAAATATAAAATTGATTTTTTTTAATTCTAAAATTCTAAAAAATCATATGCTCAAAAATGTATATGCTGACTGAGTACGGCTATAAGTAGAGTCGCGTCCCCAGAAGCGACTCGCACGTTCCTTCTCGTTGTTTGAGTTTTTTTGGGTATTTGGCGACAATATCTTTTATTTAAAACCCCCCCTACATCGTCGGTCACGGAAAAAAGGGTGAGTGGAATCGGCAGAATATGCTACTTTAAATTATAAAATTAAAACCTCTGAGTGCGCCATATCACTCGCCGTCGAACTTTTCGGCTCTCTCCCATTCCGTTTTGTCCATTGATTCACAGTGCATACTGAAGGAGATTCATTTTTTTTATTTTATTGTTATTAGTAACTATTTCAATATTTATCATTATTTATTTCTTTTGTATATTTTATGTTCATTTATTTATTATTTTTGGTGTAGATTTTCTTAATGCTCATTTTCGCTAACAGTTTGTTGGTTAGAAATTTATGTTTAGGTTAATAAATTTTATAATGTTTTAACTCCCTTGTTTGTTTTGCCTTCAGCAAGCTGATGTCCCTATAGGAGCTCTCGGAAGGCCAAGGGGTCATTCTGTCCAGCTTAGGTGATTCGGGAATGACCATGGAAGGGAGGGTAGATACCCCTCATAAGACCTCACGGGGGAAGAAAAGCATTCCGAGAGCAACCGAGAGAGACACATTGTGTGTTTTTGATAATGTTAGGTCCCCTTATTTTTTCGTCGCAGCACGCATGCTATTTTTTAACTTTCGCAATAAGGAGAATAGGCATACGAAGGAGGAGGGCAAGATCACCACCCCATTTGCCGAAGAGCCACCCAACCGGGACTAGAAGCGTGCGCCCTTCTCCCATCAGCTTCCATCGCGCCTGAACCGTTACAATTTAAAGTTTAAAACAGAGGCCGGCAGCGTCGGCACCCGATCGATGGCAGTTTTTAACTAATCTGAGCGACCACGACAACGCAACTGAGCCACCGACACCCAATACGGTGGAGAGTTCGGTGGAGAATTTCGTGCCCAATACTGTGGAGATTTCGGTGCCCAATATAGTGCCCAATACGGTGGAGAATTCGGTGCCCAATACTATGGAGAATTCGGTGCCCAATACGATGGAGAGTTCGGTGGAGAATTTCGTGCCCAATACTGTGGAGATTTCGGTGCCCAATACGGTGGAGAATTCGGTGCCGAATACTATGGAGAATACGGTGCCCAATACGATGGGCAGTTCGGTGGAGAATTTCGTGCCCAATACGGTGGAGAATACAATACAAATGCAAGTACTTGTTTATTTTTTATTTATACCATTACTACATTCTAC